AACAGGAACATGGAGCATTTTACCCGAATAAGTCAGGAAGACCAGAATCCATGTCTAAAAAACATCACACACAGAGACACTCATTGCAGACCCTTTTGCACTGGTGTTAGAATTTTATAGTAGAAGGCTGGTCAATACTAATTAAATCCAATGGAGCCATCATGAATTAATAACCTGGAGGGAAAGATGTTGCTGGTTTTAAGAGCCTCCCTCCTTTCCAACCTTGAACTTTTGTAATTTTTGGTAGCTCACTACAACCTCTTTACTGATCTAGATACTTCACAAATTAATAGTTCTTAAAATACAATTTAAATGGTATGTTAAATTTACACAGCCCTGGCAATCAAATATCACAGAAAACTTAGGCATCCTCATTTCTCAATTCCCGGGGATAACCACCTTGTCATCTGCAGAAGAAATGCACTAGGGAGCGAGGTTATTTCTAGGACAGGGACTCAAGGAAATGGCAGTGCTGTATCAAGTTGCTTTTCTCCATCCTGCCCAGGAAATGTTGAATAAGGCTTCTGCCATCCCAGGGCAGCTCTACAAGCACCTGTGGTGGTCCACTTCTGCTCCAATGCATCTCAAAGTGCTCAGCATAGGGGGCAAAAAGAAGACTAAAAAACACTCACCAGGCTCTGACAGGCCCCACTGACTTTTAGGCCCTTAAGAGTAAGCCCTTCTCAACCAGCAGTTAAATCTCTAAGTATAACAACAGTTACAGACACAACCCATAGCCCCACCTCAAGCAACTATGTCCTAGTATCAGGGAAAGTGAGATGCAGATTAATCTCTGTATTCCCAGGGGAAAGTCTCCTGGAAAAGTGACAGGACTTTCACACAAGGATTTCTTTCACAGAAACCTCTGATGCTGACATGGTGTCTTGCAGCCCTAAGGAGAAGCCCTATGATATACAGTAGAAGGGAATGAAAAACTAGGGGATAGGTATAGGCACCGAGTCAGATACCATGTAAACAAGCACCAGTTCTCAAACAGCAAAGAAAAGGGAAGAGCAGAAGTCCATGGACAGAGAAGACAGTTACTCCCTTCAGACAGCTCATACAAGTTTGCAAGATAACACCAAAGCAAGGAGCAAGCAGCAAGGACAACTGAACTGAAAGGAAAGGGACATGCAATCCTCAAAGCAGGGAAAAGGGACAGGGAAATATAGTAGGTCCTAAGAGAAGTCCAAGAGGAAAAAAGGGGGGCTTTCTACCACCACACAGATAAAGCTTTTCTTTCTTAATTCTTTCTTTTAAAGGAGCAGGGGAATTCTGCAGCATCCAGCTTGCCTGGAGGGGAACAGAACCTAAAGCAGCCGTAAGGGGATGGAAGGAGGGAGGCTGTTCTGGGACTCGATCTCCCTTGCAGACAGTTCAGACAAAGGAGGACGGTCTCCTATAATGGGATGCATTGTACATTTTTAGCTAGCACAAGGTGGCTGTCGTGACAGGGTTCACCATCTCCTGTCTCCCCCCTTCAACTACACACCTCTGCATGATCCCAGCATGGAACACAAAGATTTGTTTTATCACACCATTACTGTAATGGGAGGTAGAGAAAGACAGGGAAAGGGAATGAGGCAGAAGAACGAAAAGGAGACAGAGCAGCCTTTAATGAGTCAGACGCTGTTCTGATTTAAATAAGATCTCCATTTAAGGAGCACTGCAATTGTTGGGTTTTCTTAATTTAAAAAAAACAAATCACTGACTAAGCAAGCAACTTTTGGCTGCACAAGTTGTCTCACAGCTACACACAGGGTCTGGGAGGGAAAGGGTTATAGAAGGGGGAAGGGAAAGGGAAGAAAACCTCTGGAAAAAATGAGACTGCTTGCTGGTTCATTTTAACAAGGACATAAATTAGTCTCAAAGCCACAAACGCCATCACCTCCCCGAGCCCTGGGCAGAGTGTAGCAAGTCAAACACGTGCCAAGATAAACGGCGCTGGCTGGAGCCTCCAAGGGGTGCTGGGGGGACAAGAGGGGGCATGCTGGCAGGCAGGGCAGCAAAGATGCTTCAAATGGTGCCACAAAATGGAGACTGGTGATTCTACAGCTGCACAAAAGCAGACTTTCTGATGTTTCTGCTTACACCCACATCAAAAGCTGGGAACTCAAGACAGATAAAGAAGGAAAAAGGGGTGCTGAGGTCAGAAAATAGCAGTTCTCCAAGGTCTGGCTTTAATTACCACAAGCAGCCCTTCCTCCTATCTTGGAAGAAGGCCCGCCAGCGGGCAGCAGCCCAGGTGAAAGGTTCCATTGCTGAGAGCAGGGAGGGCAGCAGACAATGGCAGGGGGATTCATTACAAAGGCACACACATACATACACACACTCAGCACTGCCGGCTGCCACATGGGCTGGGGGGACCCCTTAAGGAGGCGGCAGCTCCCTCCCCACTCTCTGAGATGCTCGACACCTTCCCCCTCTCCCGGCCCTGATGGGAAACAGATTTGGAGGAAAACGCCAGCAAGGCACTGGGCTGTCCAAGAAAGGGAGGGCTTTGTGCTCCACACAAGCCAGCAACCTCAGCATGCACCACACAGTGAAAAAGCCTTTTAGCATATAATGCCCATCCAAAGAAGACTCTCTCTTTTATCTGCAATTAGTACATAATGTACTGGGCCTCGTTTAACACTCATTTTCACTGATTTAGGATTAAGGGGGATAAGGGTAAGGTACTTTCTATTAATGAATCTGAGCTCTTACTCTCATTAGCAATTTTTGTTTCCTCTTTTTCAAGCACATTTCTACTTTCCAGCATCTCCCATTTCTTTCCATAGCTGTTTCCAGTCTTGTCACCCCACACACTCATATTTATTCTGTTATATCAGCCTGTCATGCCTATACAGAAGCTCATCTCCCAGATCTCCAAGGCAGACAGCAAGCTTGCTCCCTACAATACAAGAGAACTCAGACCAGATAGGCAATGTTTTCTGGAGACTGAATGAAACAGAGCAAGATTGTAGCAATGCTGAATTAATTCAGTGGCAATTACCAGCTTAACATACCAACAATATTTACTTTTCATATATGAGACAGAGCCCCAAGGAAGTAAGTTCACAGGTTTAAGCAATGACACTCCACTGCTTCAAACAACACTGCCAAATAAGAATAATGTGGCTGGGGATATTGTCTTGAATGTGCCACGCTCCTTCAGCCCCACACTTGGCCAAACCTGCAGTGACTGCTAAGGACCAGCCTAGTAGCTAAATGATCCCCCTGAGAGAAGGCAGTACTCTGCTAGAGCTGAATTCACCAGTGCTGTCTTCCTCAACTCTGCGTACAAGGGCTATCCATCGTTCATCTGGATCCCCAACTGAAACACAGTCCGAGTTCTCCTCTCCTACTGTTTTTTTAATATGCATCTTCTCCAGCATCTCAGCATGTAAATACACAATGCAAATCCTGAAAACCTATACTAAATAGTACATACTTTTAAGACAATCGTAATTCAAGGTCAAACAATACAATACACAGTCTTGATACCTCCTTCCCCACATCAAAAAATTAAAAGAGTTTCTGTGGAAGACAGATTTCCCTGGAGTCTATTAGGATATCCTAAACCTTTAAATGAGTTTATACCCTCCCCTGTTTCAGCCAGTGCTCCAGCAGAATCCCATCCTTCCCAGCTCTGCACATCACCCAAGCCTGGGTCCTCGTGACCCAGGCACCTTTCTGCACTGCACAGACACGGGCTCCGAGTGTGACGGCTGTGGCTTGAGAGCACATTGCAACACAAGGCTGTGCAGAACAACTCTCTGAAACGTGCACACCTGCAGCTTAGGGGCACACACCTCCATCTGACCAGGAACACTCTGAGCACACAGCAAAACACAAATGGACGCTGACTGCAGAGACACAGCTTTCCAGCATCACTTGCTAAACTAAATATAGGTACAGAAAGTCCCACGAGATTTCTGTAGAGCTCTTCTGTCTCAGAACAGAAAGCCTTGGTCCAGATAAAAAGGATTCTGTAATGGAAGGGACTAAATAGCAGAAGTAGAAGATGGGGCTTGGGAGCCTGGGAAGATACCTTTAGAGTGGACAGAGACCTATTTTTCAGCCACTGACAATCAATGCGAATGAGAGGGAAAAGGTCAAAGTGGGTGTCACTTCTTGCAGCAGATTCACTCTGAGTTAGGCACCAGTGAAAGAGATGCCCCTTGCAATGGGACATGCAGAATCTCAGCAGCAGCTAGTGAAGGGGGTTTCAGCCAAAGCTAAGGAAAGCCAAAAAGGCAGTATGCATCTATTCTACAGACCTGCACAGCTGTACAGAAAAAAAAGCACTTGTGAAACCCAGATTTGAAGAAATGTTCTGAGAGTCCTTCCTTCCACCTCCTTTGGGAATATCCCCCAAAGGTTTCCAGCTCTGCAAGGCACTGCGGGGACATTATATAATGCCTAACTCCAAAGGATTCCAGCTCCACGATGCCGCTCTCCTCCCTCCCTTTGCCCGCTCCCTCCGGTGGCGAGTTGCATATACCATGCCAGAAAAAAAAAAAAGAATTCAAAATCCCAAAGCATACAGTAGCCTTAAAAGGCGAGCACTGTCCGACGAAACCCTTTGCGGTGGATGTGCGATGGCCCTGGCAGCTGGGCGCGCTCCTCAGGAAACGTCAGCCGCTTTCCCCCGGGAGGACACGGGCAGCCCCACGCCTACAGCTACCTACCAGGGCTTCCCGGCCCCCGCGGCGAGCGGCAGCCGGATGGAGAAGCGGCGGAGTAGCCGTACACCTTCGGGATCGGCTGGTCAAAGGCGGGTTTAGCCTAACTCGGCAGGGGCAAGCCGTGCCCCTCGCGCACCACTCTCTCTAGAGGGCACTGCGAGGTTGCTCCGGGGAGGGAGACCGCAGGAACCCCTTCCCCAAAGCTCCCACCGCGGGCGCCCGGCGCGGCGGAGCTCCCTTCCCTCCCGCACCGCTCCGGGCGCCCCGCTCCCCGCCCAGACAAAGCCGGGCGGGCGGTCGCGGGGAGCCCGGCCCGCCCGCCACCCTTACCTGAGTTACCATTTTCTTTTTCTCCATAAACCAAAATGGGGGAGGCCGGCCGCACGGGAGAGGGAAAATTTAAAAAAAAAAAAGAGAAAAAATAAAACTAAATAAAAAAGCAGCAGCCCCGTGGAGGCGGGCGGCGGCGGCGGGTGCCTGCGCTGCGCTGCCTCGCCGGCGCGGTGCTCCCCGAGCCCTTTTTCCTCTCTTTCTTCTCCCGTGTTCCTCCCCTTCTTCCCCCTCCCTCCCCCCCTGCCGCCCCCCCGGCTCAGCCAGATGGCTGCGGGAAGCACCGCCCCGAATGCCGAAGGTAATTAATGCGAGCCGGGGCCGCCCCCGCCGCGCCCCGCCTCGCTCCGCCCGGCACGGCCCGGCCAGCCCCCGCCCCAGCCAGGCGCTCCCTCGCCTGCCCGCCGGGACTCCCCACTGCTCCCCGGGAGCCAGGAGGCTCGGCCAAGGCGCAAACGCGAGCTGGAAACAAAAGCGAAGGTGGTGGCCCCGTGCAGCTCCGGTCCCGGCCGGCAGAACCTCACGGCCGACCCGAGCTCCTCCGTACCTACCATTCCCAGCGCCCCAGGCCTCCCCCACCTGGACCTCAGCAGGCGGGAGAGAGCATCTCCCGGCTGGAGGATGCTGGAGAGATAGCTGTCAGTTTTGAACAGACCTCCCTCCTGCCACAAAAGGCAGAACGCGTGGGTTACACGATGTGTTGGCTGAACCGGAAGCAGTATCCGTGCCAGGCTCTGCATTTCTATCATCATAAAACCTGGAGACCGCTGGATTCCTTCCCAGCTTGCTTTTTTCCCTCCCATTTATCTTCAGCAAGCATCTGGCCCTGAGCACCTGAGCACGCCACGGTTGACAGCATCTGTTCTCTCAGCGACCCCGTAAAACAGAGTGATACACTGCTACCCCATTTGCCAGACGGGATCTGAGATGCTCTGATTGATTTTTCCCAACATTGCACCCATGGAAACCCACAGACAGAGCTGAACGCAGGTCTGCCAATCCCACAGTTAGACAAGAATGCTAAGTACTGATGCTCCAGTGCTCATGACGCAGAGATAAAACCAGCTCAGGCAAGTTGTGCTTCTGATGTATCTCTTCTTGACACCTGGTAGTCAAGAGACTCCCCAGGCTTTAGCAGCAAAAAAGCCAAATTACGGTGCAGTAACACCTTGAATCCCCACGTGTTGTTTGCATGAATATGCCCAGTTATAATTTACAAGGGAAAAATAAAGCGCCCAGTGGCTTTGCTTCATGGGCTTCTGCTACAGCACTGATCTCCAGGTAGCCCATGCTGACCCACAATGCTTTTTAGTTTCCCAATTTCACTCACTGCAAACTGACCTCTGGCTCCCTCTCTTCTTCCTTTCTTTCCCTTGCCCTTTTCTCTCCTTATTAGGCAGGCCAGCAGGAGCCATGTGTAACAAGCCAGTCGCTCCCCTGTTATGAAAAGCAGGAGACCAAGACACCAGAAGCCCTGACACGCCACCAGTGCATGGAGGCATAGTCATGGGCCAGCCACCCAACACAACCAAACCATGGTGTGGGATCCTCTGCGAGGGAGCCAGCCTCCATGGCTGCAGCCCACAGGTCCACATTTTTCTGTGTTATCTCATCCTCTCTGGTAACTTGCAAGTTACAATATTTACATGCAGTGTTGCAAAACCAGGGAAAGTAGTGGATTTGGTTTTCCACCCCTCTACTACAAACCTGAGATTCTGGAGCACAGTTCTAGGTCAAGTGTAAACTCCATTTAAAAGCAGCAAAAACCCACAGTGACCTCCTTAAACCTTTGACATGATAAACCACTAGATTTCAGCATTGTGCATCTCATTCACCAGACCTCTGCAAATCACTCAGGATAATCTCCTTATTTTCTCCACCTAAGTACTTTAAGTCTTGTGTTCACTCGGTCTTGTCTGTGCATGAGGTAGCACCCTCTTGTGCCAGACCTAGGGCTGTAGCACAGACCTTCTGGTCATCATCCCACTACTGTTAACCAGAATAGCACCATTTCTTCTCTATTTTGGCCTTCATCTGAGGATCCTCCAGAAACACTTGCCATCAGAAAGAGTCTTCTAAGGAAAATGAGATGCCCAACTATGCACTGAACCTTCCCTTGCACTGCCTCCCACCACCCAGTTGGTATATCTGCCTTGCTCATATGCCAGCAGAGTGGGAATTCTCTTCAGTGTACTCTACTGCTGGTCTCTCTCTTTCATCTCCATGGTGGACCAGAAAGCATTTCCTTCCTTATGGCTTGGAATATATCCACCTTTGCTCCTGTTGAGCAAGAGAAAACACTCAATTTTCAGTGGATGTGCTCAGGCAACAAGAAATGCAAGTCTGCAAGAGTTCCCACAGCTGCAAAACCACCCAAAATGAACATCTGATAGAGAGTTTCAAAAGCTTAAAACATACCATTTGAAGCATGACCAGACATGGCAATACATGAGATCTTTGTTGTCTCTGGTTCTACTGGAGCAGAGGAGCAACATCTGATAATGAATAAGGCCTACAAAAAATTGGTGAATCTGTGCAGCTCATCTGTGCATTCCTCATCACTGAGGAATGGAAGTTCAGATGTTGCGTCATGGCTATGCGGAATAATCTGGTGGTCCTCCACTTAGCTTCTCCTACGTGAGAATCATGGAACCACTCTTGAACTTACCATGACAGTTTGCCACCCTCTACCTAAGCAAAACCAAAACCCAAACTGCAAATCTTCCTGCTGAAAAGAACAGAGAAGCATGAGCAGAGCTGAAGGCTGGAAGCCTGAAGAACACATAGCTCAGAGCCACAAGATTGCCCCTTCCTACTTACTGCATTTATTCAAAAAGCAATGTATTCAGAACAGTTCTAGATGCCAATACTTATGAGCTCTTGCTGCTTCTCATACATCACAGGCACATATGCATCAAAACTTGTTACTGTGCTGTAGAAGTAGTGTTTTGAAATAATCATGGGCAAATTTAACTAGTCTGTCTCTGCAGTGCCAGGACACAGCTGATAATCCTCATCATGCCAGGCAAAGCTCCTTGCTTCCACCTGAGCATGTCTGTGACACTTTTATATTCTCTTCTGTGTTTGCACAGATGTACATGATGGCTTCTGGTTGGCTCCTACCATTCAAATCCTAATGGGAAAGAAGCTGGAGAAGGATGTTTATGCAGCAGGCCGAAGGACAAGGCCACTGAAATCACACTGATGAGAGCATAGATGAAGAACTAACCTCTAGTTTGACTAAGTAGTCTACATGTACACTCTTAAATACTTGGGTTAGTTTAACACTCATAGAAATCATTAAAGTAGGAAGAGGAGGAGTCCACAAACACTCTGCTTTTGGAAAGTTACAGGGTATGTTATCTTTTTTTTTTTTTTTTTGCTATATTATTTACCACTCTTTGTTACTAAGGGTGGGAAGCAAGCATAGCCTTCAATTTTAACATCCCATTACCTGCATTTCTGTGCTGGCTCAAGTTTACATGGAGCAAACCTGCCAGCTGGACCAAGGCCAGAGGGAAGAAAAAGAGAGTTTCAAGTGCAAAGAACCAATTTATCAGGAACAAATCTTAACAACCAAAAGACACACTTCTGCTGGTGGATTCTATTCACCTGGGTAATAAAACCCCAACACAAGGTAACCTAACAAAATACTATTTAGTGGCTATCTGACGTATCTCAGTGTAGATAATCTTGAACTGCTAGTCTACATTTCACATTTTCTGGATAAACTTGGTGCTTGTAAGGACATGGAGTGCTGACACTGAATAGCCAAGGACTGCCTAGAGAACATCATCTTTCACTTGGCTCCAAAAGTATTTGAGCCTGACCCACACAGCCTCTGTCTTCTCCAAGACTCCACACACTGGGCCAGCAAATGTCACGTGTGCTCCAAATATAGCCCCCTCCCCCAGCAGAGGCTGCAATACAGACTTTGCCCTGAATGCTGCTCTCAAACCCACCCATTCTTTCACCCTACACATCCTCTCTGGACCTCCAAAAGCAAAAATGTGACAAATGAGATTTTGTCTGAGGTTTTGTGGGTGATTTTGGAGGAGGGAGGAGGAGAATAGGTGAGAAGCTGCTCTGGGTGGCTCAGCATCCCTGTGGGACAGGCTGCAGTCACACATACAGGTCACATGTGCCCCGACAACGCAGTGAGACATGCAACAAGACACTAGTTTGCAGAGCACAGCACTGCTGTCAGTTCAACATCCCCTACAAACAAATAAATTATCAAAAAAAAAGGCAAAAAATGTGAACCAGAATACACAAGTCTCAAACAAGACAAATCTTGGAGTTAGAAAGTATCAAATGGTACTGCTCAGGTGCAGGAGCTTCAAAGGCATCCGCAGTGTCTCCGGGCAGAGGCCTGGGACACAAGAAGCCCAGCTTGGAAGTACTGTCCTTCTACAAAACCAGCATGTAAGCGCCAGTTTTGCCCAAACAACATAGAGAGCAAAACCCCTTAAAGTCACCACTGTCCTTTTGCTTACCTGGACGACTGGGTATTGGTAATCCATACAATACACACCATACATAGCCAAAGATCCTCCAGCTAAAGGCCAAATGGACACAGGACTGGAAGCTTCAAATCTGAGTCTCCGTCTTTCAGCCTTGTGGGAAGGACTCTGGCAGCCCTGCGCAGTGCTTGGCTCGGGCCTCTGGGGCCACTCAGGTTGACACTAGCTCAGCTGAAAATAAAAAGGAGCTGCCTGGCTCAGCACGGCTCAGCCCCTCTCTTCTGGGATCCAGCAAGGCAGTGCTCAACCATAGGCGGCGGAGGCTCCTAAAATTAGAAATCCTCTACTGAAAACAGCCCTGCGAGCCTTGACTGAGGAGTGTCCTGCGATTCCCGGGCAGCAAACAGAGCAACTGCCAGGAATAGGGGGACACAGGATCTTTGCAGCCACTGCTGCCAGGGATGGGAGGAAGCAAACAGCATTTAGGATCTGAAAAGAGCATATGTTCTGGGCTCTAGGTGCGTCAGAGGGAACACTCCCAATCCAGGACAGGGAAAAACATATGGGACTGTTCCTCCCCCCACCACCATACCCTTCTTGCTGTCCTCTGCAGGGACAGGTGCTGGGATTAGCATAGTAAAACTCTTTGGTGTCAGAGAAGGAGGGAGGGAGAGGGGAGAAGCCACACTGATATCTCAAATTGAAGGGATCTCTTTCACAAGGGAGTGTATGCCCGTATCATTTAACGCTTCTCCCTCCCTCCCTAGCTGAGGCAAGCAGGGACAGCTGCCGGAACCGGGGCTGGCGGGGGGAGCTGGGCCCTGGAATGGTCCCCACTGCCCCAGCCTTGGGCCGGTGGGTTGTCCCCCTCAGCTGTTCTAGTCAAACTAGGGGCTGCGAGGGGGATTAACTCTGTCACATGGGACAGCGAGCAGCAGGGAGAAGGGGGCAAGGCTGGGCAGGGCCAGTTGTTGTGCCCATTTTAGGAAGCTCATCCTCCTCATTCCCAGGGAGGAATCTGCTCCCTGACCGACAGGGACAGATGGGGAGCTGCTCGGCCAGCAG